GGGAAAGAGAAGAAAACAAAAGGCCTGCAATTCGTGGGAAGAGGATGTGGGAGGAATGAGACGAACTGGAGGAAATGCATCATTATTATTTATCCAGCACTTAAGTCTGTCCACGCTGGGAGACCTTAAAGCCCCTTTGCTGTCACCATGTTCCAAAAACTATGCCTCCCTTGGGGACCTTGGTTAGCTCAGCAGGACCATGATGTCAAATCTATAATTGATCCACAGCCTGTGATCCAGCTGAATAGCTCATAATGCTGCCTCTTGCTTAGGAACATGCTTTCACTTCAAAGAAAACTTACAAAATTACATGGTCATTAGCAAGGACATGCATAATGTAATGTGGAACCAAAAAAAAGCTGCAGCTTCAGTGTCAAAATGGATTAAAGGCTCAAATTCATGTAACCCATTAGAGCCTTCTATTTAACATACAGAAGATAAGTGCCTTTTAAGATGTTAAGAGATCCATGTCTGAGCTTAAATGAAATAGAGTGGGCCAAACATCCAGCTGGTACAAATCAGCCCAGCCCACTTGCTGTAGAATTACACCGATTTTACAGCAGGTGGTGCAAATTTTTTTTTTTTCTTTTTTTTATTAGAGAGTGGCTATGCACTTATTTAAGATGTGGCTATTTTATGAGCATGGCATGAATCTGCCCAATAAGGACAGGTTATAGAACCAGATGATAAAACTTCACAGCATGAACGCATTGCTCTAATTCTCAGAAGAAAAAGTGAGAAGGTAATAGAAATGAAACCAGTTAAGGATCCATCACATAGCCTTGCCGCTACCAAGTATGTCAACTCTGACTCATATAGGCTTCAAGCCTTGTTCTGCCAGAGTCTGGAAAGTATCAAAATTAAAGGCTATTAAAAAAAAAATTTAAAGTGATGGTATTTGGAAAGTAAAGTAGTTTGTGAGTTATGAAGATGGATGCTTGTACCTCATACCTATGGATCTTAGGCCTCTCTTTGTCCCTTTCCGTACCACTCTCCCCCTGCACTGGTTTTGGCAGTAGGTCCTGAAATAGGATCTCAGCAAAAATTTGGTGGGCTAAAGATCTAAGACAAGGGCTGCTCTGAAGACAGGTTTCGTTGCAGTTCACTTTGGCCACACCATCACCTACTCAATAGTGGTCATCTGGACTCCCGCTGCCCACATCTCAAGACATGAAGTTTATAGCGAGCCTTGGGCTCCGTTAGCTAGAGAGGGAATCTCTATGAGTCTCAAATTACATGTCCAAATTCCATTTGTAAGAAAGATGAATCCCATGCTAATGGACTGGGAGGGATCTCACGTGAATCTAATAATGTAAGTGGGGCAAATACGTTATACTACTCCCAGACGAGTCCCATAACACTGTTGCATAATATTGTCATTCAGTAGCATTCAACAGTATTATGTTTTTTCTTATTTAAATTTGGCTTGTATTTCAGAATTAGAATTTTCTGAAATTTCAGGCAAAAATTCTTTAGATGATATGTTAAAAGACAATCAGGTGCTGAATGTATCCCAAATATTTTAACTGCTGTCAGTCCCATTTTCTGAACACTTTTCAAAAGAAAACAAGAACCACTGATTCCACTGCCAATAAATTAAAATAGAATAGCAACACTTCAAACATGTGCTTACTGGATTACTAAAAGCAAGCTTTAAATGAAACCCCCTTAATAACTGTCAGTAATTTCCAAATATCAATGTTATTGTTAGGTATCTGAACATGAAAGATGCAATACTTACACCCTTATAATGGATGGTATGGCCCTTGACATTCACTTTATAGGTCTCAACACCCAGCTCTTTTGCCAGTCGGAGAATCCGGTTTTGGGTAGGTCCCACATACGATCCACCAACATCTACGTAATTAACTTGATTGTTCTGTCAAAAGAAAGAATACGGGAATCAGAAGCTGTGCAGGAAGTTTCTCAATACAAACATTTAGAAGTAGGAAGAATTATTCCATACTGGCTAGCACTGCAACTATATGCACAGGAGAAAATGACTTAATGACTGACTTAATTTAGGCAGTATTGAGCTCTGTAATGACAGGCACACAGAGATCACAGTATTTTCACTCCATGTGTGCAACTGGGTTTAACTCGTTTAAATTTCACTGTAGCTTTCAGTATTGGCTTTTTAGTCTCACAAAAGACATAATACTATGAAGAAATACACAACCAAATCAATACTTTGGTTAAAAGTCTAACCCCACTTTTTCACAATTCATTCATGCTACTTTTCTTGTCATTGCAAAACCTTTCTCAAATTCAAAAATATCTCCAGTGTTGTTTTCTCTCTGTAGTTATCTGCTTAGGCTTAATGCTGTAGATGCTGAGCCCCGCACTTCAGTATTCAAGGAGAGTAATCTCCTTTCCAGCATGGCACACCTTGGCTCTATCCCAGTGCACTCTGGCTAGCAGCCCCCAGCCATGCCTGCCACCCAAGGTGCTCCACACACCCCTCAGACCAGCATCACAAGCACTTGGGAGGAAGGAAGAAAGCAAAAAGTTGCAGGGACGCGTACCATTAAAAGCAGGCTGATTTCACAAAAGAGTAACTCTTTTTAACACTGTTTATAGTGAGCATTTTAAGCTAGGCATTCTCAGTGTCACAGAAGGATGGTGTTTATGCTTCATGTTTCACGTACAATGATTTCTGCTGAAACACCCCTGTTTATCTCTGGCTCCCCAGCAATGGCATCTGACATAATTTAAACCTCCCTTACTTGCAGGGTGGGAAGCAGAGGTAACGTCTGTATTACATTACCCTGCGCCACAGGTGACTCATAATTTTTTTCATTTTCTTTTTAATGGCAATCAAGATGCAGTCCATTTTTAGAAGCAGGAGTGTTATTTCAGATAATTTAAGCTGTGTTAAAATGTATATCTGAGCTGTAATGATGTCTGGCCCTGCTTAGGCTGCTTCTTATAGGGCTCTTAGTTATCATGCCTGTTAGAGTATGCAAAGTGAGATGGGAATGAGGAGAAATGCTTTGACGCCCAGAGTCTCAGATGATAGTTTCCCTCTGTAATGTTAAAGGCAGAGCAGATCCTGCCATGGACAAAGGGTATGGACTATGTGGGTGGAATTCAGTTACCTTAATACAGATGTTTAACATCACTTCAGACAGCCCAAGTTATCCAAGACTTCTGTTCAAGGCTGACAAATTTGACACACGACCCACAAAAGACCTGCAGCTGGAGGCCAGGCAAGGTATCCTAGGGCAGCTAAAATGGCACTACACACTTCTGGTTAGGCCATTTGATGGCTCTCAGAGTCATATATAGCTTACTGGCATATATTGCAATGCAACCTGTTCAAACAGAGTTCTATTACTTGACAAAAGGGGTGGCAACCTGAGACATCTGTCTTCTCTGGGAACTTTACTCCCCCCTGCCCCCTGGCTAATGATGTCAAACCCAACAGAATCACAGAATGACTGAGGTTGAGAGGTCCAACCTCTCCCACTCCGGAAAGGTGCCTAGAGCTGGTTGCCCAGGACAATGTCCAGAAACCTTTTGAATATCTCCAAGGAGGGAGACTCCACAACCGCCCAGGGCAACCTGTGCCAGTGCTCAGTCACCCTCACAGTAAAAAAGTGTTTCCTCATGTTCAGGTATTTTGAACCTCCTGTGTTTCAGTTTTTGCCCATTGCCTCTTGTCCTGCCACTGGGCACCACTGAAAAGAGCCTGGCTCCATGCTCTACACACCCTCCCTTCCCTCCCCTCTATACATTGATGAGATCCCCCCTGAGCCTGCTTTTCTCCAGGCTAAACAGCCCCAGCTCTCTGCCATATAAGAGATGCTCCAGTCCCTTCATCATGCAGATCATTAATGAAGCTATTGAACAGGATCAGACCCAGTATTGACCACTGGGGTACACTGCAAGTTACTAGCCTCCAACTAGACTTTGTACCACTGATCACCACCCTCTCAACCTGTCTGTTCAGCTAGTTTTCAGTCCACCTCACTGTCTGCTCAACCAGCCCATACTTCATCAGCTTGTCTATGAGGATCTTATGGGAGACAATGTTGAATCACTGAAGTCTAGGCAGACAATTTCCACTGTTCTTCCCTCATCTACCAAGGCAGTCATTTCATTGCAGAAGGTTATGGGTTGGTCACACATGACTTCCTCTTGGTGTATCCATGCTGGCCGATGACTTTCTTGTCTTTTATGTGCCTGGAAATGGTGTCCAGGATTAGTTGATCTATCATCTTCCCAGGGACTGAGTTCAGGTTGACCAGCCTGTAGTTCCCTGGGTCCTCCTTCATGCCCTTCTCGAAGATAGAAGTGACATTTGCAACAACATAGACCAGCACAAGTGAGAGTCAGGCATCTCGTAAAGTACCTACCCTCACAGTGAATGTCCTTCCTCCAACTCTGTTCCGGGCTTCGAGAACCACCACGTTAACCCCAGACTCAGACAGCAATTTGGCGGCTGACAAACCTGCCAGAAAAAGAGAAAGAGTG